TTACGAATGGATATACCTATTTACTAATTTGTGATTATACACCTGCCCAGCTTGTCTCAACACTTGTTTTCATATCTTTAATTTGAGTCCTTGAAAGACGCCCTTTTTGTCAGAGAAGTTGAAAACAACTATAAGTGGACTTTTGATGAACCTTGCAAACATCGCAATTACAAATGAATCTCTATTGCCTTACGTGAAGTTATCACCTAAAAAACGCCCTCAGGCACCTATTTACTAATTCGTGATTATACCCTGACACAGCTTGTCTCAACATTTGTTTTGCACGTCTTTGAGTCTGTTAAAGGAGCCATCCTGCCAGAGAAATTGAAAACTACGCGGACTTTTAAAAGTACTTTTTTTACGTCTACAAGGATAAGGTCAATTATAAAGGTAGTGTATATAACGTATACAATTAGGAACACATAGAGTCAGAATTCTTTAAACTTGCGGCCAATTTCAATGTCTCTACGCGTGACTTTATCTATTATCATGATGTCTATATTTGATGATGAGTACGAGTTTAATCACGTCGATTTGTTGAAAATGCATAGCATTTTTTACCCTGGTTCTAAAGGACCTATTTCATTGTCTATTTCAAAACGTTGATGCGGTACTAGGAACATCAAGTTGATGTTCCTACCACATCAACGTTTTGAACACCTATTTTGCGGAACACCTGAAAAAATGCTTGACCAAAATTTAGAATTTCGCTTGTTATCACAATCTATGACGCAGTTTATAGTTTGATCGATATATGGGTAATATATACCGAGGTCGAACTTCACTGGGAAATCTCCCATAGTATATGTTTATTATTTGAGTTGATTATTGAATTATTTCATATGGTATTACTATCCATTAAAAATATTATGTTAGACCCAATTCACCTTCTCCTTGAAAAGTTTATTGGAGACGCTGTTATAAATTATTATCTTCTATCTTAATCCAGGCACGATTTGTGCAATCGACTGTATGGCCCGTGAAGAAAAGATTGAAAATCATTTAAACGATTAAATTCTTAATAGGCAATGGATATCCTTGGTGGACGTTTGGTCATTTTGGCCTCGCTACCGTTAACCATAGTTTCCTCACAACTAATGCCGCTTGGAAACTTCTTAAAGCATCCGGGCGAGTTTCTAAATGGACACTTGATGAAGACCATCACAGCTAATCGAATAGATTGTTCGATGGCATGTGCAAATCTGTTTGGATGTCGTTCTGTTAATATTTATAAATATATCAATGGAACAGAAATGTGCGAATTGAACGACTCGTCTAAGTCATCAGCCCATCCTGGATCAATGGTGTCTAGGACAGGATACGACCATTACGAACTCACGGTAAATATCATATGCACTGCATAATAGATAAGTCATCAAGAAAAAAACATAATAGGCAAATCTGAAAGCAAACTACATTACACGCACTATAATCAAACTCTACTAAGTTTAAACCAAGACTTTTGACACATATATGTTCTTATTTTTCAACTTCTAGTCAAGAAACGGTTGCAGCACAGAAATATGTCTGGGATCAAAGGAATGGAAGATATTTAACTCTTCTCAATTTCGACTCTTTGAAGACCGAGTAACCTGGGGTGAGGCCAGACACAAATGTCGCGCACTGAAGGGGGACCTGGTATCGATTCATAGTCAACAAGAGCA